AAAATGTATTCGAATAAATATTCGCTCGAATGAAAATGTATTCGAATAAATATTCGATCGAATAAAAATGTATTCGAATAAGATTTTTTATTCGAACAAGGATTTATTCATACAGAAATACTAGATAATTGATTCGACTAAAAACGATAGAACATAAAGTTTAAAATTTTACACAGTATATCGATTTATTTCTTCCATATTACATTTTCGAATTATTCGAACATAAAATTGTTTGATTAAAGAATTATTCGAATAAACAGATTAATTAAAATATTCGACTAAAAGGAATTCTTCGGATAATAAAAATACTTATTTGAAACAGTGCGAACGAACTCTGGTGAAACGTGTGCAATTCTCAACGAAAATTAGTTTCGACGAGATTTAGCCTTCAATTATCCTTCATTAATGCGAGAATTAATTGCAGAGAATTTCTTGGACAAGCCTGGATGAAGTCGGACAAAGCAACGCGTGCTCCTCATATTCTGCTAATGACGAAAAGATTTAACGAAGTGAACCAATTAGTGATTTCGGAGATTCTTCGACGCACCAACATGTCGGCGAGGGTGGCTGCGATCGAAAAATGGGCTGCGGTTGCTGATATCAGCAGGGTTCTGCACAATTACAACGGCGTACTACAAATTTGCTCGGCGTTCACAAACAGCAGCGTTTACAGATTGAAGAAGACTTGGGAAAAAGTTTCTAAAACGGTAAACTACTCAACATGTCAGAAGCATGTCACAACATAGTCAAACGTGCTGTCAAGAGACGTCGGATAATAACGCAGATGTATTGTTATTGCACTTTACTCTTTATTACATTATGCTATTAATGAGTAATTTACGTTCAAGAGTGTTAATAATTAATTTATGTTCAACAGTGTTAAATATTCATTCTTGATGAGATCCATGACAAAATATTTTGAAAGATATACCAATTGAAACGTTCAAAATTATATCTTTTCTACATTGAAAGAATAATAATAAAAAGAACAATTTTTCAAAGATTTATAGGATCGAAAAGAGTTCGAGAAGAATTAATTATAATTAATATTAGCCCTACAGCATCAATGTCACTAATGAAATTAATTCGATTGTGCGAAGTCTTTCGGTACCATGTTAACAACAGTCAACGAATTGATTAACAATTCAATTTTCAGACGAAGCAAAATATCGAAAAACTCCAGAACATCGTCTCGTCGGACGGACGTTTCAAAAATTTAAGGAACGCTTTGCACCGATGCGATCCCCCCTGCATTCCTTACTTAGGACTGTACTTATCTGACCTCTCCTGCATAGAAGAAGGTGCACCAACCATAACCGACGAAGGTCTTCTGAATTTTTCGAAAATGCGAATGGTACGTAATTAATTTTACTGACGCCTTATCGACGTGACTATAATTTTAATTTCAATCGCAGGTAATCATTATGCAGGATGTCCCCTCGTAATTCGGAAATGGGAGGTTTCTGAGGTCATTTGAAGTAACTTTTTCCTTAGCGAAAATGCAATCCGCGGCTTTGTTTACGAGTTACTAACGAAAAACGTTAACCAATGAGAGGCGAGATCAGCAAGACGGCCAATAAGCGGAACTGGGCTTCGTGCGCTCGTTGGCTGGGCGCCTCACACAAGCCGAGCTCGCCTCTTATTGGTCAGTGTTTTCCATTAATAACTCGTAAACGAAGCCACAGATTGCATTTTCGCCAAAGAAAAAGTTACTTAAAACGACCTCAGGAATCCCCCATTTCCGGATTGCGGGATATTTTTGGGACACCCTGTATATTTGCAAGTAGCAGATCATCAATCTATTTACATAAGTTTATCAACACAGCAGAGCTTGGCTTCATTAGCTTTATTAGCTTTATTAGCTTTATTAGCTTTATTGACTCATAGTCAAAGATAGAGTATTTTATTTTATGCTTTAGGTTGTTAAATATAACATATTTTATTTTACCTTAGACAGTATCAATACAAAATAGTATAATTTAAATATAACATACTAATACAATATAAAAATACCATAGATTATTGAAATAAAATACTTCACGTTACATTTTACATTATTAAAATGAAATATTCGATTTCCTGAAATTACTAATTTCTAATTTCAAGTACTATTTTGTCTCAATTGTGAAGAATTATTATTTAAAATGTATTTGAAATATCTTTTCCACAAATATTCCTCGGCACTGTTTGAGAATAATCAAAGATCCCATTCTGAAATGGGATTAACTTCGAAATGAAACGAGTTTAAGTTACTCAACGCATAATGCAACGTATGTTTCCCAGATTGCGAACGTGATTCGTGAGATACGGCAGTTTCAGCAGAAACCGTACAAGATCGAGCTGATCACGAAAGTAACGAACTATCTGTTAGACCCGTCGCTGCTGCTCGACGACAAGCATCTATTCGACATGTCCTTAGAGATCGAGCCCAGACTATCCAGGCTAAGTACTTCCAATTAAATCGATCTGCCACACTCTGTGAGCAATGCGCCCACGAAGTGTCTCTTAAGTGTCAAGGTATACAAAATAATAATCAGTAATTATCAGCAATTGCTCCTTTTCCTAAAGCTGTTTTCTAGGTTAAGGTGACACAAAGGGGAGGTCCGCATTGACTGTTAAATCACAATCCGACTTAATAATGGCGACAATTTACAAGCTTCTTCGTCGACAAAAAGTATTCGTTCTTCTTACGAGCATAATGATGGAAAGCGGCAAAATTTGTCTTACTTGCGTGGTACCACGAAGAAAAGTTACATACAAACATGGTATTTAGTACCGAGAGGAACTCAAAAACGGTTTCGACCGATTCAAATTCACGATCGTCGCAAGAAAAAGTCAGGTTAACGCATGGTATAAGAAGGAGAGCTGGACCGACTTCATCCCTATGCCTGTCATCTTTAAAGGTTCGCATCTGATATGGTTTGCTAGGCGCTCTGTGAAACTTTCGTGCTATCGGCGAGAGTTCCTATAGCGTGTGTTCGGTATCCGCTATATAGCAGTGCTCCGAATGTTTCGGAACGCAACATTAGGCTCCGCCTCTTGACTATCGCCGCAGCGTCTCGCTGCGCGGGGATGCTGCACGCGATGGAACGCGGGGAGTGAGACGCTGCGGCTGCAGTCAGGGGGCGGAGCCTAATGTTGCGCTCCGAAGCATTCCGAGCACTGCGCTACAGTAACATTACCATAATAGTGGCAGTAGCGGCAGTAATACCGCACTCAGGCGAATATAACTTTAAGAAGCAATGTATCGGTGAGCACCGACGAAAACGTTAGCACATCTCGCGGGAACTCGTGGGAGTAAATTTTAGCGTCGCGGAAATTTTCTAGCGGGGTAACCGTAGTCGGTCCATTTCTCCTTCTTACACCGTGCATCCTAAACCTGCAAGCGAATCTGATACTCCGGATTTTTTTAATACCTTGACTGCCACGCTCTCAAAAATTTCACAAAATTAAAATGCTTTATTTAATCGAACCAAAATTGAAATGCTTAAGTTGTACGACGTTGATTACTTGGTCAATATTTTTACGTTTCGCGGGTCCTAATGAAATTAAGAAGATATCGTAGATCAGCGTGAAAACTACTTTTCAAGTCTGAACAAATAGTTCTGTCACCCTACGCGATTTGCAGTCAAAGTAGTTTCGATGAGGAAACTAGAGGAAATGAAAGGTTTATTAGATTATTTTTAGGTTATTTACATTTATGTTGAGTTTATTATTATTTTTAATAAGGATATTTATAGAAATATTTAAAGTTACGGTTTTATTTGAGTGAATTCTTCGACAAATTATAAATCTTTTGATTATTTTTAGGTTATTTACATTTATGTTGAGTTTATTATTATTTTTAATAAGGATATTTATAGAAATATTTAAAGTTACGGTTTTATTTGAGTGAATTCTTCGACAAATTATAAATCTTTTGATTATTTTTAGGTTATTTACATTTATGTTGAGTTTATTATTATTTTTAATAAGGATATTTATAGAAATATTTAAAGTTACGGTTTTATTTGAGTGAATTCTTCGACAAATTATAAATCTTTTGATTATTTTTAGGTTATTTACATTTATGTTGAGTTTATTATTATTTTTAATAAGGATATTTATAGAAATATTTAAAGTTACGGTTTTATTTGAGTGAATTCTTCGACAAATTATAAATCTTTTGATTATTTTTAGGTTATTTACATTTATGTTGAGTTTATTATTATTTTTAATAAGGATATTTATAGAAATATTTAAAGTTACGGTTTTATTTGAGTGAATTCTTCGACAAATTATAAATCTTTTGATTATTTTTAGGTTATTTACATTTATGTTGAGTTTATTATTATTTTTAATAAGGATATTTATAGAAATATTTAAAGTTACGGTTTTATTTGAGTGAATTCTTCGACAAATTATAAATCTTTTGATTATTTTTAGGTTATTTACATTTATGTTGAGTTTATTATTATTTTTAATAAGGATATTTATAGAAATATTTAAAGTTACGGTTTTATTTGAGTGAATTCTTCGACAAATTATAAATCTTTTGATTATTTTTAGGTTATTTACATTTATGTTGAGTTTATTATTATTTTTAATAAGGATATTTATAGAAATATTTAAAGTTACGGTTTTATTTGAGTGAATTCTTCGACAAATTATAAATCTTTTGATTATTTTTAGGTTATTTACATTTATGTTGAGTTTATTATTATTTTTAATAAGGATATTTATAGAAATATTTAAAGTTACGGTTTTATTTGAGTGAATTCTTCGACAAATTATAAATCTTTTGATTATTTTTAGGTTATTTACATTTATGTTGAGTTTATTATTATTTTTAATAAGGATATTTATAGAAATATTTAAAGTTACGGTTTTATTTGAGTGAATTCTTCGACAAATTATAAATCTTTTGATTATTTTTAGGTTATTTACATTTATGTTGAGTTTATTATTATTTTTAATAAGGATATTTATAGAAATATTTAAAGTTACGGTTTTATTTGAGTGAATTCTTCGACAAATTATAAATCTTTTGATTATTTTTAGGTTATTTACATTTATGTTGAGTTTATTATTATTTTTAATAAGGATATTTATAGAAATATTTAAAGTTACGGTTTTATTTGAGTGAATTCTTCGACAAATTATAAATCTTTTGATTATTTTTAGGTTATTTACATTTATGTTGAGTTTATTATTATTTTTAATAAGGATATTTATAGAAATATTTAAAGTTACGGTTTTATTTGAGTGAATTCTTCGACAAATTATAAATCTTTTGATTATTTTTAGGTTATTTACATTTATGTTGAGTTTATTATTATTTTTAATAAGGATATTTATAGAAATATTTAAAGTTACGGTTTTATTTGAGTGAATTCTTCGACAAATTATAAATCTTTTGATTATTTTTAGGTTATTTACATTTATGTTGAGTTTATTATTATTTTTAATAAGGATATTTATAGAAATATTTAAAGTTATGGTTTTATTTGAGTGAATTCTTCGACATTCGATGAATTCGAATCGACGAGCTCGAGTATTTTACGCTACTTTGCTTCGAAAGCTGATCAAAAAATTGTCATCTGTGTATGACCGACGTGTGGCAGTCAATGTGTTAATGATCGGTATCAAATGCACCTGGGAATGTACGTAGGCAACGTCGATTTATACCGGACACGAGCTGATATGTTTCCGCCCCGTCCAGTTTTGTCCACCTCTGCTTGTTGTTATAGCGACGCGCGTTGTTCCTGAACTTTGATTCGTATGTAACGACGGCTTTATTATTGGTGGAACAAACAAGTTATACTACTTCTTCTTGGTCCGAAATATATAGATTTGTACTACACTTTAGTCACTTTTTAAAGCAACTAATTGCGAAGTGTTTTTTATAGTGCTAAGGTGTTGAAACGTGGAACAAACGCTTCAGGATTTATTAAAAATATTCTCGTTTATTCAATTAATTCAGCATATCCGTAAATGCAGTATGTTATACTTTCTTGCAGCAAATATGACACTTTTCTATTTCAATTTTCCAAGAAGTAGTTTCGCAGAATACGCACATAATGCACAAATACATAATCGATGTAATCGCAAAAAGCCATGGTTCAATGATAACAATCGACAGTAAATACCCGCGATCTGGTAAAATTATTTAATTAAACAATTTATTTAGAGTAACTGAGACGAAAGAGCAAAGATTATACGAAAACTATTCGATTCAGGAACTTATTCACCGCTAAATATGAGAAATATGTCTCTTGACAATTTTCAGTTCTGCCTGTACTGAATATTGTTGAATAATATGATATCCGAGTCATAACATAAATCACGAATACACAATCAATATAACCGTACACCCTCGGCACGTGTACTTTGCCTCCCATAAAATAAAAATCGCGAACTAAGACAAAAACGCCAAGAAAGTAATTAACTTCGTTCCACCGAGAATACGTCAAATGCAACCCTGTTAACCCTTGGACTGCGGTCACCGGATCATTTTGACCCGGTGTATAGAAATCGCCACCTAATTATTAAATTTTCGGCAACTTCAATTAAGCAAATAGCTGTCGCACTAGGAGCAACAGCAAAAAAACAAATAATAGGTCTACAAGAAGCATCTTCGAGAATACAAAATGTCCTAGAATTCCCGTTACATTTGAAAATGGCTGATTCCTGAGCTAATTCGAAGTAACTTTTTCCTCAGCGAAAACGTTGGACGCAGCTTCGGTAACGAGTTATCAGCGAAAAACACGGACCAATCGGACGACGAGTACGGCTGTCGCGTTCCAGTGTGACGCGCCATTGTTCGCGCGGGCGTGGCGCCTGGCGTACTCGCTCTCCGATTGGTCCGTGTTTTTCGCGAATAACTCGTTAACGGAGCCACGGAGAACAATTTGCTCAAAGGCTGAGTTACTTCGAATCGCCCGAGGGATCGCCCTGTGCAGGTGTAACGGAAGAAATTCGTGAATAAAAGTGAAGATGGTCGCAGGTATCGTCGATAGCATAGTTGTGCAAATGGTCGTCCGAGGATCAATCGAATAGATTGTACTGTCATCGACGCGTGATCCATCATCCGTCGTGATCGATAGAAGCTGAAAGAGTCTTCGTTGGGACGCAGGATCGTTCTAACCGTATCTGCACGGGCGAATGTGTACAAATGCACGATACAATCTTATTTATTTTCTTATACTACACTTATGACTGTCACTCGATCGTGCATCCTGACGAGGGACGGCGTTAATCGAGTGGAAGATTGTTCACTTTGGCGAGACACGGACTATAGAGGTTCGAAAAGCTCAAAAGACTTCGATCACCGACTCTTTCGTTGGCGTTATTCAATCAATCAGTATTACACTCCGAATTACAGGATTCAAAGGAGGATTCGACGTTAAATGGAGCTGAGACGGAATTTAACTAGAGATCGGAAATTGTATTTGACAATCAGTAGCGTAATGCAGCATAGGCTTCGGTCGGGCTTGATAAGGGCTGATTGCGTTGTCTTGCCGAACGCGGGTTCTTACGAGTTGTTCGTACGTCAACTGGTCTGCTGACTTTTCTGCACTTATGGCATTCAAGTAAATACCAAATTAAATAAATTATTCTCAAATAATAATGAGGAAATATTCAGATCAATTAAAGTAACATTTTCTGTCTATTTGGACTGTAATAAATAGAGTGCGAATCTTTATTGCTCGCATTTATTGCTAGAATCGGGTATTGGGCAGAAATTTATGGCTTCCTTTTTTATCTTCGATATGATAATAATATGCAAAGGATGTGATAATATCTTCAAAGTCTTCTGAAGTTCCGGCTGTCGTATATTTGACGTATCCATCTTTGACATAAATGCATAAACGTCCGCAGTTGAGAAATCAACTTATATATTAATTTCTTTCACACTTTAGTTTTCATAGAATGATCTAATTTTTGTAAGAATTCGCAGTTCGATCGCCAAGTATAGCTACAGCAATAGTTGTAATTTCTATTTTATATCGCAAAACGTTTTCGATCGTACGATTATTTATCTGACCAGAGCATGTTCAGTAATTAATTATGATTTCTGTTCGAGTAAAGTAACATTTTACAATTTGGTATATACTTTCGAAGAATTGACATTTTTATTGAGCAAATATGCATATCGTGCAGTTCAAGTAATTTAAGAATATTCACCGATATATTTTTGCTGGTAATTAGTACGTTGCACTCTGACAATTGGATTGCGGGGACGATTTGTCCAGCCTGTAAAAAGAGTCGAGGTGTATCAGGGCGACGTTAGCACGGAAAACGTATTTATTGACGCAATTGGATTCGATGTTACATTTCACTATGACGTTCTTCCTTCTGTTCTGGGGAAACGACGCAGGAGCTGTGGAAGCGATCGCGCGAAAAGCGAACGAGAATTGAAGCGTTACATTTTAATCCGAATTTCTCTATATGC